GGTCCCTACCTAGGTTTCTGACTAGTTTTTGACCGGAATCCACCACGTGACTTGCATGTGATCATTTTTAAGGGTAAAATTGTCAAATCAAATTTTTACATAATCTGATTCATAGTCCCTCACATTTCACAAAATGAATTTTTTGGTCCCTAACATTTTACAAAATGAATTGTTTCGTTCCTCACATTTCAAAAAAATGAATTTTTCCATCCCTTACATTTTTCAAAATAAATTTTTTCATCCCTCATTGATCATGTGTATGAATAGCTTATTTTCTATAAACCCACGTATATGTATATTTGATTTTATTTGAACACTACAAATAACATGTAATTTATCTCTATTGGATTTCATCTAAACATGCTAATTGTAATTGTACACATGCTATTCAATAGATATATATAGGGGTTTAAAACTAATAATTTTGTTTGAAACCCATGTATATATTTGTATGATTTCACCATTTGAACCTATTCAATATTTGTGATATTTCTCTTTTGATAATAATTTATTTATTGAATTGTCTAATAAGTTCATCTAATTAATGAGTCATAACTCGAATTCTATAACTGTGCTAACAAATTTCAGTTTATATACGAAATTTTTACTTGACACTTTTAAGACCAATAGTTGAAGTACTTGCCTTGTGATTGTCTTAAAATTTGAAAATGCCAATCACTAATTTCTTTTTGTCATACTTTTCTTTTGCTTATTTTTTCTGTCCAAATTTAATTCGATATAAACACTTGATAATATTTAAGATTAATTGTCTTCTTTATTTTCAAATTTTGAATAAAAGAAAATTAAAATAAGTGAAAAACTAACAATTTTTTTAAACCATGTATATATCTATTTGATTTCACTTAAGCAATACAAATAGTATGTAATATATCTCTATTTGATTTCACATGCTATTCGTACTGTTCAAGTGAAATCAAATAGATATATACATGGATTTAAAAAAATTTATTCACACAAATGATCAATAAAAGATGAAAAAATTCATTTTGAAAAATGTAAAGGATGAAAAAATTCATTTGTGAAATGTAAAGGACGAAAAAATTTATTTTATGAAATGTAAGGGATTATGAATCGAATTATATAAAATTTGATTTGACAATTTTGCCCTTGAAATATGATCACGTGCAAGGCACATGGTGAATTCCGATCAAAAAATAATCGAAAACCTAGGTAGGGACCAAATTTGGTCAATTTGAATTTGTAAGGGACGTAAAATTACACTTTTAAAAGTGAGGGACGAAAAAAGTCATCTTATAAAATGTGAGGGACGTTTTGAACGATTTTCCCTAAATTTAATGTCATTTTCAGAAGAAATGGGGTTCACTTCAGACACAATGCATCAGATCCTTCTATTTCTTTTCCAAGACGTATTTTTAATTCTTGTTGTTCAAGGAATTTTATTACTGTAGGATTTTTCTTAGGATATTTAGGTGCTATATGACCATTTTCATTACAAAACAAGCAAGAAAATACTTTTTCTTTTTTCTTTTATAAGGGTCTCGTCATTCACGTCCTATTTCTCATGCTTTATTAAGTACTTTATCACAGCTTGAATGTGAAAGTTAATTATTGATATTTTTTTTTGTGTTTTTCTCAGCAAACATTGTTCTTTTATTATTCTATACAAAACGGTTGTTCTAGTCTTTAAGTTTTCTATATTTTGGTTCTTTTTAAGATAGTTTGGTTATTACCTTTCACAAATTTCTCCCCATGGATTAAAAGGTTTATAGAAGAACTGTTTTATCTAACGAATCATATCTTTTACTTAGTGCTAATTTTATTTGCTTGTTGCGTCCAACCATCTATTACTGTATTATATTCTGTAGAATAAATATATTAGTTGCAACATTACACTTGTTTACTTCCTTCTTATGTAGCGGGATAAATACAGAGATAGAAGTTTCTTCTTCTTTTTATTCTAACTTCATTTAAAATTTTGTCGTCATTTTCAGAATCTAAGTCTGAACTCAAAAGGCTAGTTGCACATAATTAAATATTTGAACAGCCCTTGATATTATTTTATTCTCCCATGAAAATATCTCTTCTCACCACTTAGAGCCCTCCCTACTAATGTCCCCATGCCCCTCTCTCTCTTTCCCACTAACTCATCTTCCTGTCTCTAGTGTTTTGAAAACTGAACCGGATTAGCCGGTTCGATTAGTTGAACCATGAATCGGTCATGCCTCGGTCCAATTCAATGACTAATTCAAAGAATTAATTGAACCGATCAAATTCGATCAAGAATCGGTTAAACCAGTAAAAATTGGGAGGTTCAACCAATTTTTATTAAATTCTTATTTTCTAAAATAAATATTTTAGTTTTATTCAAAATTTTTAATGCTAAGATAAATTTAAAAAATTATTAAACCTTTGAACCGGAGTTGAATCGGTTGAACCGATTGAATCGCTAACCGAAAGGTTTTTGGATTCACTCTCCAGTTTGAGTTTCAAAACATTACTTATCTCCTTCTTTTTCCTATCCCATTTGCCGTCCCCTTTTCTTTTCCTCTTATTATTTTCCTTTGCTTCTTTCTCTTTTCCTCCTTACCATGCTCCACCATCCTCTTTTACCCACCAGCCACTTTTTTTTCCTCTTTTCCTCTTCACCACCCACTCTCTAATATGAAATCAAATATGAAATTTTTCTTAGAGTTGGATTGTTAATCGAACTATTAGTTAAAAAAATTTCTTCACAATTAATGGGATCCATTTTTGTTTCAATGATATTTGTTTTTTCTTGATAGTTCATTCTAAGTTCATAAAAATTTGTGGGCTGTTGATGTGAAAATGCTTGAAATTTGACATGGGTTGTCTTTGTTTTTATCCAATATAATGTAAAGGATGTAGCGAGGTGGGTAGTAGAAGGGAAAGATGTGGAGGGAAAGATATGGAGGAAGGGTGTGACGGGTATGTAAAGGAGCAAGGTGGTAAAATAAGGGAGAGAAAAAAAGAGAAGAAGGACAAAGGAAGTTTTTTAGAAAGATCAGACGTTTTATGTATTTTGGACAAACACTAATATTTTTCTAAAAAATCTACACTAATGAGTTGCAGTAAATTTTAGACAAATACCTAAAAAACACACCATCCAAACAGAATCATAATTATATTTTTGAAATACATTTTTGTGTTATTAAAAGATGCTTGTATTTAATTTAAATACTTACTAGGTTTATTGATATCTAGACCTCCAGTGCTCCATTATCTATTTATATGTTTGAAAATCTTTTATTCCTTTTTCTTTCTGATAGTCTATGATTAAGATTTCATGATGAGTTCTTCTAGTTCCCATTTTGGAAGTTCTTTATTATTATTATTATTGTCTTCCGTTATGGCCCTAGAATTGGTTAACTCCCTTTTAATTAGATATAGTTCTCAAAAATTTTTTGGTATCTTGATTTAAAGCTCTACGTTGTTTTTCAACGTTAGTTTTAGTATTAACATAAAGGCTTATCATGTCTCATCCACTGTCTACCAAGAAATTGATTATTCCTGCTAGATTTTCTTCATTAGTTTCGTACACATATTTTAGACGAAGGTATTCTTTTTCTTCTCTGTCAACACAATTATTTCTCTCTCATTCTTTCGCTTTTATTGCTTATCCCAAAAGGACCCAACAGGTAAGATCTAGCTTAACAATGTACAAATAATCTCAATTAAAACTTTAACCATTATGATCTTCTATACATATAATGTTTTGGCTTAAAACTGGAATTTAGAGGTTTCTTAGGTTTTTAGGATTAGACTAAGAATAATTTCTTATATAAAACTTGGACAAAAATACAAAGACTAAAGTGAAAATATTAAAGCTAAGAAGTAACGAATACAAAAAGGCACCGGAAAGATTCACAAATGGTAGAATTTTTTAAATAATCATAATTGACGAAGAAATCATCTACACCACATGCGATTCATGAAACGCACAGACGCATACTCTGACAGGAAGAATGACATAGCAATGAATATAAAGATGCAGCATTAATTTGTCAACCACCATTGAAGTTTAAAAACTAAAATCTAAAATTTGAATTTATTAAGTTATTGAATTGTTAAGTATTAACACTGACACATTTGAATGCATATCATATTAAGTGATAAGTGAATAACTTATCACTTGATTTCAGAGCAAGTTTTGCTTAGAAAATTCAGTGTCACTTAATTAATTCGGATGTTCAATATTTAGTTATCAAACACGTTCAAATATGTTAAGATCTGAATCCATTAAATTTAAATGATGAATTGAATTAGCAAACAAAGCCTAAGATAGTTATTAAAACTGCACGTATTACCAGCTAAGCAATAACTGCACGTATTACCAGCTAAGCAATAACAAGTTTAGAAAAGCACCAAAAAACCTCTCAAACGGCGGAATTTTATCGATAGTTATAAGTGACAAAGAAATCGACCATGTCGCATATGATTCATAAACGCGCGCGCGCGCGCACACACATATATATATATACGCGCGTGCACACACTTGCATTTTGAGAGGAAGAATGATGTACCAGTGAGTACAAAGTTCTAGCTTTTTTGTTGACCATTCCAAACTTAGACAAAAATACAAGGACTAAAGTGCAAATATTACAAGTTAAGAAATAACAGGCACAGAAAAGCACCGAAAAAAAGAAACTCAAAAAATAGTGGAACTTTTTAAATGGTCATAAGTAACGAAGAAATAAATCCATCGTATCACATGTGATTCATAAAACGCACATACACACGCTGAGAGGAAATAAATGCAAGCAGCAGTGATTTGCTGACCTTTCCAAATTAAGGCAAAAGTACAGGGACTGATGTTTAAATATTATAAACAAAGAAATAAAAAATGGGACAGTGGGCCAGTGGCACAGGAGTTGGACTGAAGATCAGTTGACCATCAACGCAGGAAAGGTTAAAAAAAAAAAAAAAAAAAAAGATCAATGCAGGAAAGGTAGTCTTAACTAGAAGCCATGTTACAAGCGATTCATTTAATTAAACGCACGTACAATCATTAATTTTGAGAGGAAGAATGACGCAATAGTGAATACAAAGATTCCAGTACTAATATGCCGAGCTCCCCCATGATTATTGTCTTGAATTTTCTCTTCTTCACTTCCAGCTCCTCAATTTGGCCAAACATCTTCAATTCCCTTTTCTCAAACGTTCATCAGGTTGCTGTGTCTTTCTTTTTCTGGCAACCACCCTCTTCCGTAACTCCCTCTCAAGTATCACCTTCAATAATTGTGCGTGATCGTTTTAAAAATTTTCTTGTACCTCCCACTCTGAACACATACATATACATATATATATATATATACACACACATAAATAGAGAGAGACAGATGGAACATCCACTGGCAATTGCCAAGGTCAGATATTCTAACTTGGCAATGCCTAGTGCTGATCATCAGTTTTCACCATCTCCAACCAAAAATGAAACAAAAGATGAACAAAAGTCACTTGTCTTTGATGCATCTTTTCTCCAAAACCAATCCCATATACCCCACGAGTTCATATGGCCGGACCATGAAAAGCCTTGTCCTGAACCTCCTCCCATGCTTCATGTGCCTTGTGTAGATTTGAATGGCTTCCTCTCAGCGGACCCTCTCGCTGTCTCCACCACAACTCAGCTGGTAAGGCAGGCATGTCTTGAACATGGTTTCTTTCTTGTGGTTAACCATGGGGTCGACTCACAACTCCTAAAAGCAGCCCACAAGAGCATGGATTTCTTCTTTGACAAGCCATTGCAAGAAAAGCAGAGAGTCCAGAGAAAGCTTGGGGACCATTGTGGCTATGCTAGTAGTTTCACTAATAGGTTCTCCTCCAAACTTCCATGGAAAGAAACACTCTCGTTTAGATTTTGTGCTGATGATCAGCAGGCCTCAAACATCGTCGAAAGCTACTTCTTGAATGCAATGGGTGAAGATTACAGAGAATTCGGGTATGCAATTGCATTTATACCCGTTGCTGTTTTGTCTTCTTACTTTTTTAGTCCAACACTACGAGTTTTATTTCTTCCTACTTTTACCGACGCAATAATTTTGCTTCTCCTTCCCCTTCAGGAAGGTACACCAAAAGTACTGTGAAGCCATGAGCAGTCTCTCTCTTCGAGTTATGGAGATTTTGGGAATTAGTCTTGGAGTAGGACCGATACATTTCAGAGATTTTTTTGCAGGAAATGATTCAATAATGAGATTAAACTACTATCCTCCATGCCAAAAACCTGATCTAACTCTTGGAACGGGCCCTCATTGTGACCCTACATCCTTAACAATTCTTCATCAGGATCATGTTGGGGGCCTTGAAGTGTACGTAAATGGAAAATGGCACTCCATCCCTCCTGACCCTGAAGCTTTTGTTGTCAATATTGGCGACACGTTCATGGTGAGTTACAACATAGTATTCCCTTGGTCTCACTATTGTTGGCTCTTTCATTGATTTGTCTCAACTACTGTTTTGTTCCAATTCTTTAAATTTTTTGTCTTATGTTTTTCTTTCTTTCTAAATTTATTTATTTTTTGGTTTTTAACCTTAGGATATAGACTATGTGCTTGTAGTAATCTCTTTTATTTTACGTCTAAATATGAACCAAGTTCTCCACCGTCCTACTAGCTCTTAATCCAATATGTCTAACAGGAAGCTCATTTCCCCTCGACCAACTTAATAAGGAGAAAGGAACTGCCTTACCAATATGCATTTTGTTTAAAGAGTTCGTCTTCTTTGCACGTATGATTGAAGTACTAATTGGGGATGGATGTCTTTCAGGCTCTTTCAAATGGCATCTACAAAAGTTGCTTGCATAGAGCTATTGTGAACTCTCAAACTCCGAGAAAATCTCTTGCATTCTTCCTGTGTCCCAAAATGGATAAGGTTGTAAGCCCTCCAAAAGAATTGGTCTCTTCTGATTATCCAAGGATGTTTCCAGATTTTAGATGGTCATCCCTGCTTGAGTTCACTCAGAAACATTACAGAGCTGACATGAAAACTCTGGACGCTTTTGTGAAATGGCTGAGCACCGAAGGGATTCTCAAGATACAGCAACTTAATTAGTCAAGTCAAATATTTTGTAAATTCTAGTGTATTAGACCTAAGAATTTTAGATCAAGACGACGGGAAAGTTTAAGCAAAAAGATGGACCATCAACCCCTGAAAATAGTTAAAAGACAGAATCCACCAAAAAGCCTATGATGATCATGGAGTGTAGTATTGCAGTTACATATGGCTGATGCTGTACTACATAGTAGTATTAGACTATATAATATAGCCTCTACAGACAACAAAATCCAGTATGAGACTGTGCAATATCCAATTTTTAAGAATAAAGAGCTTTATGGTTTTCATGATAGCATTTGAGCTTTTCATCGCTGCTGAGGGATACCTGTCTACTTTGCCTTTGGTCATCCGTTCAGGACCATTCTTGACTTGGGGAGCTGAATCCGTACCCACTCGTACAGTACAGTTAAAAGTACCAAACAAAATTAAAAACTGGATGATGCCTTCCCTTGGGAAAAATGGATAAAGTTTAAGATGATGCCAGATTCAAGTGAAGCTTGATTAAGTGCTAGAACATAATAGTCAAAATTCATGATATATAGATTAAGGGTTTCTTTTATTTGATTTATCGTTAACGTTTTTTGTATTCTAACATGTGCTGATGCTATAAAATTCCAAAAAAAAAAGAAAAAAAGAATAGAAAAATTGGTGGCCATACTATAAAATTACCACTCATTTCTAAATGGCATGCACTTTGCCAGAAAAGTTTACCCGGATCCCATTTTTAATCTTTTACCTAAGAGCACAAAATATAAGGTGCCATGCTTTAAATAGTCGATATTGTTATCATGCTCCGCCTCATGACTAAGATCAGCATGGAATAAATATATGTGGATTATATTTACCAATACAATCATTGATGCTAAATGCTTCCGTGGCACCCGTTATCCCAGAAATATTTTCCTTGGACTAAATAAATCACAAGTATTCGCATTTATTTTACGATCTGCGAGTAATTTTATTCGAATATGATCAAATCCTTAACGGGGAAAGCTCTTCTAACGTTATTCTTTCATTTCCATGGGTTTCAAATTTGAAACTTCATGGTTAAAAAATGCAAACCCCCTTCCACTTGCATCAACATTTGTTAATAGCCAATTGTTGCTACTTGATTGGAAATTCTTTGAAAGCGCAAGTGTGAAAAAATATACGTATTGGGTTGCGGTTGAGCTATGTTTTCCAATTATTAGGCAGAGATATTACATTATCTTCATGGTGGCCCTTGGAGTTGTAATGTCCAGTTTTGCAGCAGCACTAACTTGATCTTAAACCATAATTATTATGGCTGTTACCCTGAAGCAACTAATTATTCCATCTATATGGACCCTTTCTTCAGGAATTTCTTCATGGCCCTCCCTGACAAGTATCTTTCCGCTATGGAGCTATCATATCACCTTCTTTTTCCTGATACCTGAGTTGTCAGCCATGGTCGAATACTGAGATCCTGAGGGGGTGCAGCAAGCATCTCAATGCCAACTAAGTCCGATAACGTTTTGACAAGAAACTTTGGGCGGGATATGCAAAAGGGAGATCAAGGCTTGAATTGGACGATAAATGAAGGAAAAAGAAAAGCAATTCCTGGAACAATTTTTTTATGGACAAAGTTATTCTCCAATCCCATCGCACCATGTTAGAATATTTGAATTTACATCATAATCTTAAGTTGTCCACATTTAAGAAAATGTCATGCAGTTATGTGGAATGAAAAAAAAAAAAAAAAAAGGATACCAAATAAGATGGATCAATCATTGTATGAGATTTTTTGTAACCCTCCCACCCCATCCTTACATCCTTCCTTCCCCAACTGTCAGGTACAAAATTTGAACCCTGAATCTGACGATGGAGTTTTGAATGTTTTGAGTTAATTTGTTTTATAAATCTTTTACATATTTTTAAATTTTCTATTTTTTTTCCTAAATCGATGGCTTGAAAAATAAAAGGATACAACATGCTAAAAATTATATATATAATTGTTTGTATTATTTTTAAGTTGGTGCAAAAAGGTATTATCATGGTTGTAAATTATTGCAAGTTATTTTTAAGAGTATTATAAATCATTCAGAATTTTAAGTAATTTAACATTTCTTGTTCGAACCAAAGATACAAAAACTATTAAAGAGTGATCTTGTTATTAACTTTTAAATTTTCATTACAAAAACTATATCAATCAATTAACAAAAATTAAGAGATAAATTTAGTGTATTATGATAATTAAGGAATCACCAAAAAAGGGCAAAATCAGAATGAAATTATATTCTCTGTCCAAATATGAGTTTTTAATATTATATTTTGAAATGGGTTTCAAATGTTACAAAAAAGTTTAAAATATGAGAGCCAAATGAGATTTTTCGAAATTTGAGAGCACCAAGTGAAACTATGAAACTATCAAAAACCTCAGGGGAGGTTTCTGAAATGATCCCCGATTCAAAATGAAGGGTATTGGGAGAAAAGTGTCCAGGGGGCAATTACTGCACAAGTTAGAAATATCACTAATGTCGCTATATGTTTATGCAAGCATTAGGCAATTTGGAAAACCTAATTATTAGCTTCTTCTTCTTTTTCAATGTACTTGAAAGAAACAAAAGTAGCTAAACATCGTGCACATGTGGTGGGATCCTTGAAACATGATTGCATATATTTTGGGAGGATGAAGAAGATCCCCCAGGCTATAATGGGTCAAGTACAACCTAAAATGGTGCAAGTCAACAAACAAATCGTTGCCGTCATTTATGGAACCATTACCAGTACAAGGTTGCATGAGATTTATTAGAGCTGTTGGGGGCAGTTTGCCTGTTTTGAGTGTGCTCTCCAGGTAGAAATGGCATTAACAAAAAGTGATCTTTAAAAAAGTGAATGGAAAATAAAGGGATTTTATTGATACGAAACACGGTAGACGACAGTCTTGCAACAGTTTCGAGCATTTTCTTGTCCCTGTGTCTCAGTTCATTTGTCATGTACATAGAAAAGTTACTTGCCTTTCTTGCTTATTCATACTACTATTGTTTCAGGTAGATTAATTTGGGATAGGCTACATAGAACTCCCATAATTGAGGTTCAATTGAATTAAACCAGACATTTTTCTTCTAACCTGAATTCTTGTGTTACAGTACTGGATTATCTTCTTTTTTTTTTTTTTTTTTTTTTTGGGAGTGCTTTGAATTTAAAACCTAACAGCAACAACAGTCATCCCTCCCTGTATATCATCTGTATGCATGGGTAACTTTGCCGTGAAAAACAGAAGAGAGAAAGAAATTTCTTACTTGAAATTTCAAACAAACGTATTGATGGCATTGGCGTCCGACGGAGAACAAGCCTCACAGGAAGGAAATGTTTTATATTTTTACCCAGTGATGCTCTGAAATTGAAGTTTTGGTTTGACCAGCCAAGGTAGAGACAAAATGTCAAAATCTCCTTTTGTTTCCTTGTACAAAGATTCTCCGATGAAACAAATTAGTTTTTGAGGATGGTGTCACTGAGTCAGCCGTGGAATTGGAAGATTAGTAGACTAGTCATTTTCTTTGTTTTCATGTTCAAAAGTAGGTTGCAACAATCCATCTTCAGCTAGTTGATCAATATAAACTAAAAGCTAGCTCAAGTAATCAAGTGAAAATTGACTTCTTCTTCTTCTTTTTTTTTTTTTCAAAGTTTTTGGGATCATGCATTCATCCTCAGGGTGACTAAATGCTTTGAATGTATAAGCTCTAATGAGAGATGATTGATATCCCAACTTGAAAAGCCCAACATTTTCCCATGGAGCTAGAGGTGCTTTTGTAATCAAATTGTGCTATCTTTTCTGGATTGAGGGTTTTGAAGATCAATTAGCATTATAAGTTACCTAGCTGAACTTCCTTTGCTGCTTAAGTCAATTCGAGTGGACATGGAATTTTTTCGCCACTTTCTTCTAGTGATGCATGGCTATCTTTTCAGCTGGATGGATTGAGGAAGAAGAAAAACCATGAATGCGATCAAGCAAGCATCCCTCAGCTTTTGATGATTCTGGAACTTCACAAATCGACAACGACACCTGAGATTGCAAAGATCAATTGTAGTTGAAATCCGCTGAATTTGGCATGTAGAAAAACAAGCTACGAGACAGATTTTGTATATCAAGAAAAATCCGGACAAGTGAAATAGCAGGCAGCACTGAGTTGATTGAACAAGTTTTGGAAGCTTGAAATAGCAGTCTCGTAAGCATTTTGAAAGTTGTAACTGCACATTTTTGTGAGGTGACCTTATTTTTCATTTGTTTGTTTGTCCGTACGATCTTTCTGAATCTAATGTGTGAGGCTTATGCTTGAAACTTTTCGACAAACAGCCAAAGAGATTCCATATAGCTTGTATCTCGCTTTCCTTTATCCAAAATTCTCACTGTTAACTAGTTTAATTTAGCAGGTAAAAAAAAAACATGATCTAACCACTAATAAAAGCGATAAGCTCTAATCTATACATGATCATTACCTCATCTATTAGCAGGGCTAGGCAAACCCACGTTGTCTTGACTGAGACTGCCTAAGATTAATCTATAAAGAGGGAGAGAACAAAATGTGACTGAATAATTGAATGGACAACTGAATTCAATGGTAAACCTGCAATTAATGTTCAACAACAACGTTCCTGTTGTTGATAACAGGAAGATAACACCTGATGCGAACATATATTGGTATTTTAGTAGAATCACGTCTGAGATACCTACAATGTTTTTGACTCAATGGATTAAGTCTTCTAACTTGATTATATAATGTTAAGGGTGTCATAGTCGAGGTCATTGACAGGGGAGGGTTGAGTTGGGTGGTAGGGGGAGGGAGTGTATGCAAGAGGTCTCGGATTCGAGTCCTTCCGCTTACACTAAAAAGAAAAAAAAAGAAAAAAAAAAGTCGAGGTCATTGACAATTTAACATCATGCTACAGTGTATATGAGTACAACCTTATATTTTACTAGGTAATAAAATTTTGTGCTACTATAAGCTTCTTATCTTTGTGATGTGAACATTAAAAGCTTCCCTGTCATTTTTAAGAGGTCAATGGTGGGATTTCGCCTCTCTCTTGAGAGCACTGTCATCTTATTTATTTATTTATTTATTTATTTATTTTTATATATTTTTTTAAAGAAAATCAACTGCGGAACTCCACCTATCTTTTGATGACTCGACCAAGTTAAATTGCACACCATCATTTAGAACTCGAGGCCTATTGATCATAGGCTTTAGCAGTGTCCATAAGCAAAATAACGAGATTAAAAATTAAGTGAAAGGGTCTGTCTAATGA